ACCTTTGTAGACCCTCTTGCTTACAAAGTTTGGAGATCGATGTTCTTCCTCATCCGATGTTCACCTAATCTTTCTCCAACAGATTATCATTTTTTCACGCATCTCAATCGTTACGTCGTAGACAAAATTTTCAAGAACGAAACGGAGGTGAAAAATGCTATCGAAGATCATCGCCTCTAGGCAGCCGGCCCTTTTGCCGCAGGGATCGAAAAACTGGCTACTCGTTGGCAAAAGTGCATTGATTCTAACGATTGTTATCTTGATTAATTTGATTGTTCTCTAATCAAAAATCTTGCAATTGAAAATCACTAAGAAAAGTCATTTTCCGGAGTACCTAACACAATACATAGTGTTGTGGTAGTTATAAAATAATTAGGATGGCTAGTTTTTGTAAATAAGCAAAGACAAAACCTACAAAACCTACAAAACCTATTTACAAGACCAAAGCCTACAAAAGTTTGTTGTCTTTGATCAATTTAGACTTACAGGTCGATAAATCCAAAAACGAGGCAGAGAAACTGGAAGATTTTTAGGGGTGTCATGGTTGTGAATCTCTTCTTTTGTGACTCAATGAGACCTTTTGAGACCCTTGCTTTTTCCCCTTTTATATGGACCAGTGAACTGATGTTCTTTTTGTAAGATTATGGAGATTTATAACAGCAGAGGTCATTTCTGATGTGTTCTTTTTTTAGTAAAACACAAACTCGAATAGAGAGAAATGGTTCGATAGGATTATGGGAATTTTAAGTTCACAAATCATTTCTGGTGTTCTTTTCCTTTCTCCCCGTTTTTAAGGACATAGATCGTTTTTTCTGGAATCTCCATATTAAGCTTTCCAATCGTTCAGCATCATTGCTGATCATGAGTTTAGAAACCGATTTTTCTTGCAACCTTTTTTCAATAGTTTTTAGAAAATCTTAATAAGTTGTACTAGGAAATGAATGAAATCTATTAAATTTGAAGAGTTTTAAGAAATTTTTGCATGCACACTATTTAATCGTTTTCTCTTTTGCAAGTTATTATCCATCTACTTACATCCATCTACTTACATCCATCTACTCACAATATAAAGAATATTTTACTTGCAACAAAAAACTGATTAACAAAAACACTCTTTTTTTTCCAAAGCAAGCACATGTTAAAGGACAAACTCGAATTTTGCTTAAATGGAGATAAACAATTGACTACTGCGTCACTAAATGAATTCCATATTTGCTTGCGACACCGATATCGAGGCAGTATAAAAGGGATTAGCACTAAGCTTGGTAAGGTATTTCCCATCTGCTAGAATCATGAACAACTCTAGGCTGGTCTTCTTGTTTCTTCTCCTGTTAACTGGCCCCCAAGTGGCAGAAGTCGAGGCTGCGGTGACTTATGTGATGTATCAGACGGTCCCCAACCAACAAAAGGGCGAACAATTGAGAAAAGTGTTCAAGTTGACCGTTCAGGGGGTGTTTCGGAGATTCTGATCACAATAAACGCATATTTGATCTTCAAAAAGAGTGGGATCATGAAGATTGCGCCGCTGTGTAAAAACCAAAATTGTGCCGAATGAAATTACCATTTACCAGGGCCTTCGCTTTGTGCGAGTTTGGTATCAAAATGTAGCCCTTCAATTGAACTACACTATGGTATAAAAAATACTTTTAGAGAAACTTTTGTTTAGTCCAAGAAAAATGATCGTAACCAACTGTACATGCAATACTAACGTACCGTCTTTTGTATGGGTGTGTAGTATTTGCGGTCATTTTTCTCGTACTAAACAACAGTTTTTCTAAAAGTCTTTATACCATAGTGTAGTCCAATTGAAGGGCTACATTTTGATACCAAAGTCGCACAAAGCGAAGGCCCTGGTAAATGGCAATTTGATTCGGCACAATTTTCGTTTTTACGCAGCGGCGCAATCTTCTTGGTCCCAAAAAAGTTTGGATCGAATCGTGTTCGGATCATCGATCCGATCGCCAAAGTCAGATCCGATCGAATCAAATCGATCGAGTCGGATCGGATGGGAGCGGATCGAATCGAATCGGATCGAACCGAATCGGATCGAATCGGACCGATCATATTAATTTGCGGGCTCAAGAGGTTTTGCTTTTTTACTCCTATTTTTTAAATGAATATGATTACTGTTGTTAGTTTTAAATAAAGCTTACATGAATCCGTTCATATTTCATTACGATACACGGTTCTGAGTCTGTAACCATACTTATGCCGCACCCTGTAGAGCAAGATCAAACATTCTTTGTCATTTGTGATCAAAAGATTCATAAAAATCAAATGGTTTGTACATTTATTCAAAGGCATGGAAAATATTTTTCATTTAAAAGCCACAGTATGGATAGTAGACTCCTCCATACGTGTATCCACCGTGACAATTGAACGTCTGACCGCTGGTGCCCGTGTAGGTTTGAGTATTGCTGAAAAATGGCCATGTAACTTCATATAATATGTTGTTTTATGAAGAAATTAAGAACTTAATTATGTCAGACTCACGCCGAATTATAATAGTACTGTCCGTTGTTGTTGTAGCCATTGGTGGGGGCTGAGAAAGTGGCCCCATTTCGATAATAGGGATAGGTGTAGGAGGCTCCGTTGTACGTATATGTGGCACGTCTCGCTCGGCTCAGTCTGGAAACAGCGTCATCTCAAATGTCTTTACAAGGCAAAGCCCTGGATGAGCTACACTGGTTTGATCCGGCTCGGTTTAGCCTAGTCTAGCTTTCTTGAGTCGATTTGGATAGTTTCATATATTGGTACAAACTAAACGCTATAATGAGTAATTCATAATTCATTCAATAATTCCTGGTAGGTTTTTCAAACTTTTATAGTAACTATATCACTGTAAATAAGGATTTATTTAGATTTAGCTTGTCAAATGTTTATCAAATCCAATACCATAGCAATGTCTTATCAGAACTGAGCCCTGAAAATCGCGTTCCATCATCAGGTGAATTACGATATAGGTTATAATGCTGATCCAGCTTTAATCTGGTATATTGTTACCTACACTAGCTTGAAGTTCAGAATCGCTTCGCAATCGAATGTTCTATGCACTCTTTTGCACCTTCTAACGGTTTTCATAAAACTTGCAATTCTCAAAGTAACAGCGTCGACTTATGAACCTCAAAATGCAAGGATATGGTCCTTTATTGATTCTCATCAAGTAACAATGCAAAACTTTGGGTTTTTTTTGCACAAAACAAAATAATTTGTTGTACAAAGAACACTGCTTTTATTACCATAGATAATAAAATCATGAACTAATGGTGCCAGAGATCGAAAAATGTATATGAACTCCATAATGACTCTATAAACAAATTTCATCCCTCCAGAAGTTGCAAAAGGGTGCATAAAACATAAATATTTAATGACAAAGACATCAAGAAAAGAATTGGTCAAGAGGAGATTCGAACCCAAACCAGAAAAGATTCATAGGTTCGGCAGACTAGCACACTATCCGCTAGACCACAGAATCAGTCGGAAAGTTTCTTTGTGGCATGAAGACTCCAAAATTTAAGGGAATTTTCTACGCCAGATTCCTTGCGATTGCGTGGATGTTTGCAATTAATTTTTACAGAATCAGAATCAGCATAGCCGATTCTATAAGATGCACTCGGTCACGAGCCGAATTTTTGAACTTTTGATTCTGAACTTCGAGCTGGTGTTATTCCCTTGTAAGCCTTAATATTGGTATTGTTTTGTATCCTTAAAGTCTTGATGAGATGATTTCTAGTCATGTCCTAAAACCAGACCAAGACTCTGCTTGCTTAACTGAACCCAACTCTAGCTTTAGTTTTTTGTGGCTTGAAAGAACGGTGCAAAATCCGGCTTAATCTTTGGAGGAGGGGTAAGAAATTCTCACTTGGGTTAAGTTAAAGCCAGATAAGACCCATTGTTTCTTAAAGTTAGAGCAAATCGCGACGGACCAGGGTATTGCAAGACGATCTAGTTTAGTATGACCTTATAGGCTTTCTTATAGTCTTTATAGGTTTTTTTCTCAAAATCCATCAAGAACTTACCCAGCTGGTCCAAAGTCATATTGAGCGAAGACAGTTGTGGAAACGAGTAGGAGAAGGGTCAACGAGGTAGCCAATTTTTGCATTTTCGACAAGTTATATATGTTCTATTCCAGATTTCGGAGTTCTTATATAGTCCCATTTCTTGAAAAAATTCTCAAGGAAAAGTTTAGTTTATTTGAAGAAAAATCTGCGTTTCAATAAGAGCTAGAAACTTTTCCTCGAAATCAATTGAAACTTGAGATTTTCTCATGTTTCCGTGTTTGTCCAAACAACATTTCTCCCTCTCTCAACTAGGCGCTCTCTTGGTTTCATTTGGTCACATCTATTTGCCCGAAAATGGTCAGAATAGTGGGAAATAAATGGCCAAGAAATGGACACTTTTGCATCGCCACCCACTTGAAAACATCAGAGTCAAACTAGAAAATGAATTACCCACTTGAATTTGGAGTTTCACGTTTATTTTTTACATGAACTTCCAGGATCATACATGAATGAAACTTGAAGACTCGAAAACTCAATTAACCTGCCAAAAAAGGCAACGGTCAAAACGGAAGGAGTACCGAGAATTTGGCAACTCCCCGCAGAAAAAAATTGACTTTATAATGTATGATTGTTTTGATTGACTACGTAATGGAATTTCTGTGATTGTAGGTAGAAATCTTATAGGTAACTAAAGCAAACAAGACAAAAAGTCTGGTGATTTTCGCTGAAATTAGTGCTGATCGAAACGAAAGAGGAAAAAGTTTAACGGAAATGACATATTTAGTGGGGATTCTTATTAGAATTTTGTTCTAAAGATCTAATAATCTAAATCTAATAATCCAAAGAACTAGCTAAAATATCCTTTGTGGAATCACAAAAAAACGGGGTGCGATGCAAGACTTGAAACGCACTGTTCTCCCTTTGCTAATTGTTGGATGTCGTATTTGGCTACCGTAGCCTCTCTTTTCCAGCAGCACCAGAAGAGTGCCGCCAAATTTTGTTTGCGTAGACATTCCTGAATACTTACACCATATAATCCTAGAACTATTTCTATTAAATCAAAGATCTTCACTGGAAAAAATGAGATTTTGCTTTAAATCACTTCCCAATGAGCTGAAGATTTCCATTTATGATGTTATGGAGATCGAGGATTCAATTAAATTGCTCAAAGTCTCAAAACAATCTCGAAAATTGGCTTTACTAAAAGGATTTCCTGGAAAAATTGACGATAAGATTGAACTGAAATTCTGTTTCGCTTCGAATTACGAAAGAGGGGAAAAGGACTCGGCCCAGGTTGAGATCTCGGTGACGAAACATTTTAAGACGCTCTTCAAAGCATCGATCAAGAAGGACTCGATCAGAATCGACGAGTTTAAAAAGGAAAAACTTGGGCACATTTTCTATAATTTATTCAACAAGCGAATCTCAAAGTGTCGCTCGTTGCAAGCAAACTTCGGATTTGCCTATCAGAGTCCAAAAGAGATTAGGGATTCAGAGAAATTCATGAAAACCTTCCTGAAAAACTATGGAAATTTTCTCAAAAATGTCAAGAGTTTTCAATCAGTGGAGCTCTTTGGCTCGGCTCATCATTCCCTAGTTTTTCTGGCTCAATTTTCCACCGAACATGCTGAGAATCTAAGGTTCCAACTTCATTGGGACAAAAAGAAGGATTTGGACACCGTACTGGCACATCAAGTTTTCCAAAATTGTCAAGTTTTTACCTGGAATACTTCCACTGATTCGTATCCGATGAAGTTAGTGAGAGATATTTACTCGAAAACGAGTGCTCAGTACATTGTGGCCGATTTCGAGTGTTTGTTGAAGTTGAAACGCTTATTGAAGACCTTCGCCCAACTTGGAATGCCAAAAGACCGAGGGTCGATGGTCATCAAACATGATGGAATCGATGCTTTTGAGGCTAAGGACGACTTCAAAGAGTTGACGACGACATACGCTCAATCGTTGGGTCTCAAGAGGATTACAGGTGGGATTTATCTCAATGACTACTGTAGGCAGAAAAAAATTTTGGGGGTGAATCCTCTTCGGTTTTGAGATCTGAGAGCCCCTCCTTTGAAAAATTTGGATTTATATTATGTGTATCAACAGCCTTGCGAGTAGGAGCACCGTCTTGTTGAAAAACCCAATCATTATTGGCACCAAAGTGCGCTTGAGCCCAAGGCAGAATTTCTTTTTCAATCATATCGATCTAAACTTTCTTGTCAATTTTGACTCTAGCGGGAATGAAGATCAAGATATATAATGGCCGTAGTGGATAATGTAATAATGGCTAATAATGGCTGTAATAATAAGTAATAATGGCTGAACGCAGCTCTTTCTTAGACTTCAAACCTAAAAACAATCAAATCATCGACCTAATAATAAGAAAAGAAAAAAAGAAAGACAGAAGGCAGTTAAACGTAGTAAGATGCGCGTCACCATAATTGTGGGACACCCTGTACTTCCAAGGCAATAGTCCTAACGATTTCGATGAGAGGGAATAGTCCTTCCAAGGGAATAGTCCTAACGACTTCGCTATTTCGATTTCGATTTTCGCGGCCGGACGAGATGCAAACGCGTATCGAGCATGGGGAACATGATGCTCCATTTATTTTTTGCGCATTCTCAATGGTAGACGAGAAAAACGCTTGCAAAGTCTGGGCACCTACTCGCGAAATAGCACCTCGGTGATAGATGGACTCTTTCCCTTCTCCTCAAGCGTGACGGGATGGTGTAGAGGTACGTGGACACGCTCTTGAGCAAGCTTTTGCTTTCTTTGACCCTGGTTCGGTTCCATCTCAACACTTCTCAACGGCGTAGCGAAATCGTCCGGCCAGTTCGGACCATTCCCTTGTTGGTCAGAGCACCATTAGCTTTGATCACTGCTTGACAACGACCTTTTCTGCCTTTCCCTTGCCGGCCCTTCCCTTTAAAATCTCGAAGATTTTTTGTTTTGAGGTTTTAAATCTGTTATAACACAAAGACACCGAAATTGAATTGGTGGCTCTAAAAGATAATCCTTAACTATTAACTCAACTTTTAACAAGATTATTCTGATTTTGATTTAATTAATTCAATTTTAGGTACATCAAAGAGAGCGGTGATCATGAAAAAGTTCTTCGAGGATTTGTCAGAAAGAGAATTGAGCGATGCTCTTCCCGCCACTTTCACTGATGAAGTCGAATGGTCTGGGAAGATGGTCAAGTTCAAGAAAAAGCCACAGTTTCGATATTTCGAGAAGAAAATTGCTGATAGAGAGACCCTGGTGTGTGCAATTGTGCTCCTTGATGGAACGGAGACGTATGGAGCTTGTGAGATGCAAGTTCTCATGACAACACTCAATGAGTGAGTTCGATATTACTTTTCGTTGTTGTTTATTTCATCTGGTTTGTTTGTTTTTCACTTTTCTACTATAACAAAACTAATTCCCGTTCAGATGAGTAATTGTTGTTGATAAATACCTTTTCGTGTCTACAGAATAAAGAACGCTTCAAAATTCTTTTTTTTGATAATTTGTGCAACAAAGCAGCTGCAGAAGCTAATTGTAAAGAACAAGCAGGAAGAAAAAACAAAAGAATTACTTACAGAGCATAGAACAAGGATGAAATTTCAGTTCGCAACTCGTGTCTACTTTAGTTTTGTCCTGTCTAGAGTCTATTTCAGCCATCATGAATTCCTATTTCAGCTCACCAGCTAACCAAGAAGTCTTGAAGACCAATGCTGATTGCAAAGTGAAATTTCGGGAAATCTATCAGGATGTTTAGCCGTGTTGAACACCGTGCATTTAAGAAAATTAAGAAAGAAAACATTTACATCCGAAACATTGGTATAACTCAAGATAGAAAAACCTTACAAGGGAAGATCACAAGGCTGAAAATTGTTACCTTTGTTCTTATCAACGATATCGATTTCTTCATTCATTCGAGAGACGCTCTAATCAAAATCATGTTGATAGTTCACTCCCAAATGAGCGCTCCTTGCTTTCAATCTCTACTTTAGTACCCGTGGATCAAATTTGGATACGTCAATGCGCATGTTCTTGTTTCAAACACCCGTCAAAGTTTGTTTTAAAATTGATGATATTAGGTTGAGGAAAAAGTTTTGACTCAGCTGCAAAAAAATTCAATCTTTATGCATTTTTTGCTGCTTTTTAACGCTTATAGTGTTGTACCAATCTTGGTCTTTGTATTCCAAATGAGTTTCCAAGAAAAAGAGCTACGAGTTTCGTTCCGCTATTGCTGGAAACGGAAACTTTCAACAAGAGATGTCGCGGAAGAGATTTGCGATGATGGTGATTTGAAACCGAAGCAGTGGTACTTGATCCGAAAGCTTGCAGATCGATGGCAGAAAGTCATAGATAATGATGGGTTATACTTTGAGGAATAATTGTTGTTGTTTTTGTTATTAAATGCCACATAAAAATTGAATTTTTCGCAGCTGAGTCAGGGCTTTTTCCTCAACCCAGCAAACTCTGAGAGGCTATGAATTGTGGAATATATGTTTTTCTGTGTTGTGCAGTGAAAGAAGCCTTATATAGGGACTGATTTTTGACCTCTAATTTGACCCCTAACTTGTTTGCCAAATTCCTCACGTTTCCCAGTCATTTTGTAAGAAAGGATAGCCGCATCGAAAACTTAAAGGACGTGTAACTTTTTATAGAAAGCCATTTTTCAAAAGCGGAAAGCAGCATCGAAATCAGCGTAAAATTCTGCATCGTATGGTATATGGCTCATGTCATTTGGCCACCTCAGCCTTGTGATCTTCCCTTGTTAGCATCGCCAAGATATCACTGAGTCTAGCTGTTGCACTTGGACGCGTTGTTTTTTAGTGAAAGCCGAGTAGAACTTTTGCGATTTCGTGAGCATTTCTCTTCGTAACTCTTTTGAAGTGATCAATAGGAGATATGGTTGATAAAAACCAATCAAAAGATCAATGTAAATGTGCTAAAAGAGCATTTTATGTTAAGCCTTAATGGAAGCAATTTTTAGAAAAGTCATAGTGTTTTTCAGATAGGTTTAATTAGTTTAGCCCTTTTATAAGCTTGTCAACTAGCTTTAAATGTAAAAATCAAACCAGTTCGACGAGACTTTTGAAATATTCCCAGTCATAATCAGAAGTAAAAGAAATATAGGAGAGCATACCCTAAATATAACTTGATTAAATCTAACCCGAGTTGGTGATTACACTTCATTTTGAATAAAGTATGCATTATTTTTATTCCACACCAGCCGAGAAACCAGGTTTTTCTGGATGTTTTCGGGATAAACGGCTTTAGTCGCCGTGGAGCAGTGGATAACGCGCGGGTCTATCGCTCATACGATCCGGGTTCGACTTCCACGTGCGACTCGAATTGTGCTTTTTCAAAGATCCAAAAGCACGTTGCACAACTACCGTAATTCCCTTATCAACGGCGCAAAAATCATTGCAAACGGTCCTCTGGGGACTGAGGAGTAGGGCGCACAGATAAACAAACGGACAGACGGACAGATGGACGGACAGACAGACAACAGATAGCCTTCTTAGTCCCTTTATATATAGTAGATAATTATAAAAGGCTTAAATCTGTTGTGAGTAAATCAAAAGATCAAATATTTCGGACTAAAGCTAAAAAGCTACAAAGTCAGGTTGGGCCAAGAGATTTATTTTTTGACAAATAGGGTAAGTCCTGGTTTGTAGTTTTTCTAATAAAAACAGTAATGAAAGATTTTTGGGTAAAGGATTTGATAAGGCTAAAATCGTTTCTCCTGTCATTTGACTTGCATATTGTACAGCCGCCGGAATCATGATGACCGTGGTGAAGAGTGAAATGCCCAAAAGATTCCAATGTTTTTGCTGCTTTAGCCCTCTAAAATTTCAAGAATTAGCCTATTTTTGGGTGTGATACTTTGCACAAATGATATTCTAGAAATATAGCTTTAATATTCATTTCGTTAATTTTTTGGGTGCTTTCCTAAACGGGGGAAAATTTTGTTTTGCCAGAAAGGAATCAAAATCGAACTCGAGCAAAAAAAACCCATTGCTCGTTTTGTATGCAAGCGTTGTATCCACTACACCATCAAGTCAAGTTTGGAATCGGTTAGAAAACCCTTTATAAAGGCCTTTATCCTTTAAATCCCCATTCCGCTTCAAATTTTCGCATTTTCACTCTAAATTTATTGAAACACGTGTAACTTTTTATAGAAAGCCATTTTGCAAAAACGGAAAGCAGATTCGGAATCAGCTTGAAATTCTACGTCGAATGGTTTATGGCATATTTCATTTGAACACATTCTTCTGTTCCCTTGTAACTTAGTCCCCAAAATATGACAGAAAAGCTCCCCTATCTCATTTAGATTTTCCCATGTTAATTGGAAAGAACCATATTTACCTCATCTTCCATAAAGTGATCAAGTTCATCACCAGAGAGGCCGTCATAGGAGCGATAACCAGAAAAGTATAATAAAGACGATGCCACTAGAAAAAAAAAACTTGAATTTACGCTATTACAGCCTATTACAGCATCATATGAAGGAATCTGTGAATAGCCGAATGCCTCGTTTTTCCATCCCCATAAAAAGATGAAGAGAACCGTGTGAGATTGAGTGATAAACATCAAGATTAGACAGAAACAAATCGATTTCCGCAGAATTCGTCGATCATTGCCTTCCCAAATCTGGAACTTCTCTTGTGAACTAGCTGGCTAATTTTTTGGATAATAACAAAGAGATAGGTAATCAGATGGATTTTAAGGAGTTTTCTATGTACCTTCACGGAGCTCACTGAGCTCACTCACTGAGCTACAGTTAATCAAGCCGCAATTTTCAGGCTTTAATCAGCCTGGAGTCAAGAGCCTGGAGACTTTTCTTGGAGTTCATTATTAGTCGTTATACCGTTTCATTGCATCAATTATGGCTATAGACAGAAAGCCTAGATCTGAGACAGATTTAACTGACTAGCTTTCCAGTCAAACTGATCGAACAACTTCGAATTCCTGGACTTTTCGCTCAATTTTGATTTATACAGGGTAATCAAAAACTTCAAAACAAAAACGGCAAAAAAAAGGAAAATGCTGCTTGCTTGAGTCATAAACCATTAGAGCCTTGTGAGCCTAGACATCACTCTGCATAAAACACCTCTTGCCAAACACCAAATCCTCTTGCCAAGGTGATTTTTGGCTCACGGAAGAAGATCTTTCTTAATCATATCGAGATGGTTGTTGTAACTCACACCTTGAGGTGGTTGCAATAATCCTGCGCACCCTGTATAATTTTAAGCTGCTCTTAAATCATAAACAGCGCAACAGTACACTGCTGTATTGAACCCATATTGTTCCCACAATGATATACCATTATTTAACATTGAAAAAGCCAGATCTTTGGTCTTGGAAATTGAGCTTGAGTTAAGCCGGCTTCAACTTTTTCATTTGTTCGAGCTTGTTCAGAACAAATTCTAGCAGCCAGGCTTCTCAATTCAAGAAAAACCGTACACTGCTGTATTGGACGGGATAAAGGACCGTTGTGAGTCGATTGGCCGCCAAAATCACACTCAAATAACAATGACCGTCTCGGGGGAGCTAAATAGTGGATTTTGTTCAAAATGTACTGGATTTGGTGTGAATTTTGTTCAAACTTCACAAATGAAGAGCTTATTTAGCAAACCTTTGTAAAAATGCCCAATATCGTTCGAGCCGGCGCTGAGCTCATGATGCTCCGTATGTTAAGCAGTTGAAAGAATGGAAACGTCACCAAATCCAGTACACCTGAAAATAAAGACATAAAAAAAGAACCAGGAAAACCAAGGCTTATAAAAAGTGAAGACTTCTTTGAAAATAGCTACCGTAAATCGTGTAATTAAAGGACATGCCCTTCTAGTTTTTCCCTATCCTTTTTCGGACTTCCCGAAAAATCACAGAAGGGGGACCAGATAAAATTTCTTAAAAAAATCTTTTAAAATCACTCTAGCTCCATTGGAAATGCTCTAAAACAAACGAAAAACATGTTTAAAACAAGAAAAATTTTTAGCCTTGATCCCTAAAGGTCGGACTCTCGAAAATGATAAGGATCCCCGCTTGCTCCTTTTAAATTTTACTGCCAATCCTTCTAGGTTATGCATACAACCCATATACATCATTCTAAGCGCTTTTCAGCCAAACTCTTTTTCAAAAGTAGTGACTTTTTGGGCGAGCAATTCTATGGGAAGGGTGCCGTTCTACTAGAGATGCCTTTCTATTAGAGGGTGCCCTTCAATTACAGTATTTGCGGTCGTTAAAAAAGCTTTGTGTACGAGAGATTACTGGATTTTCTAGTGTTCTAGACTAATAAGCTGTTTGCTTAGCAGTCCTCTATATGCTCTAGTCCCGTAACCAAGGGTAGCGGGGGCACGTTTTAAAAAAATTTTTAACAGCTATCGGCTGATTTTAGGTCAATTTTGAATGATTGCGCCCTGATTCTTATTCTGATTGATTCTGATCCTTATTCTGATTAATTCTGATCCTTATTCTGATTGATTCTGATTCTTATTCTGATTGATTCTGATTCTTATTCTGATTGATTCCTACCGATTACAAGAAAAATCGTGAAGAACGGTGATCGAAAGGCCCGATTTTTGCTCCTCCAAATCGTCATTTCTATCAAAAGGTAAAGCGCAAACGAGGCCCATTGAAATAATTGCCAGAAAACGACACCAAGCAGCTCCATTGCACTTTCACAGTTTCCGATGTGATCAAATATTTAAATAAACTTATAAATAACTTATAGATGCGTCAAAAAGGCGAAAATTCTACACGGTTAATTGATGACACACATCTTTGTTATAATTGGGTATTTTCAAGAAAAGGCCCAAAAAACTAGAACATTACAGAAAGTAATGCTCGAGGGACGAGCAATTACCGAAATAAAGAGTTTTCAATAATTACCCGGAGGCGGTATTTTACGTGTAACTCAGCACTCACATTTACAATCATCTGACGTTTTGTTTTGATAGAAAATTTAAATATTTTTCTACAGTGGATTCATAGATTTGAGAAAAGAAAGCTTTTTCTGCCTTTTTTTATAAAACCTTAAAGTTGCATGGCGTTGCATGGCACGGTACTTGTTTTTGAACGATTCAGTAAAAATTTTGGTGACACGTTCTAGGACTAAATTTAATTATAAGCTATTTAATTTTACATACATACATTACATACATTTATCTAAAGGTAAAAGATTCACATTTAACAGACACTGAAATATGAAAAATTTCGGTTCGCTCTTCATCTCTCTGCCTCGATTCTCGTCAATCTCGCATTATCGCAGGTGATCACACATCGCATTTCACTACCCACTCTCTCTCACTCACTATTGCCCGGGATAGCACACTAAAAATAGCCAAAACTAGTGTGTGCCATCCCAAGCGATAATTTGATCTGTTTCGGATACTATAGTAGTTTTTAACTATATTGTTTTTAACTATCTTGCATCAGAAAATAGATAGATTAAAGAAAAACGAGAAACTTGAACCTAAAACTGGTCAAAGGTGGTCAAAGGAATGAAAAAAAGATTTGGATGAAAGCTGAATATCTTATCCAGAAAGATAATGAAAATTCTGATCAAATGAAATCAAATGAAAAAGATATCAAAAAAAGAGAATGGGAATCCCCAAGAATACACATTTCTATTAGAATATTCTCATCTTTTGACAAGCCAACGCTTACGAGAGAAAGGCACTAGGTAAAGCTGGCCTTTCAAAATAAGACCTTTCAAAATTTCAAAAAATACTCCATAATTTTGTCCGCTATTGTAGCTTCTAATTGTACAAAAACTTAATAATGTCTACTTTCGCAAAAACTAAAAACTTGTCAGTATGGGATTAGAAGTCGAGGTAAAAAAAAATCGTAAGGATATCTATTATCGGTAGCCCATTTTATCCACTGCGCCACGAGATCACATTTTGGGAAACGATAAAGAAAGCTTTTAAACATCGAGGTCAATTTTTGCGCCACTGCGCCACGAGATCACATTTTGGGAACGATAAAGCAAGCTTTTAAACATCGAGGCCAATTTTTGTATGTCAAAAACCTTGTGTTACAGGGCCCCACAGGAAAAACTAAAACCGGATTCGAAATGAGCGTAAAAAGTTCTATCAGGTATACTAGGTTTTATTTTGAAATATCACCTTGACCTGGTGCTTTTCCCTCGTTAGACCCATGGGACACTAAGATTCCCTAAATAGCAAAACTTTGTCTAATTGAGTGTCACGTTATCTTCCGATTTGTTTGATAATGTTTAAAAAGTATTGCAAAAACAAAAACGTTCAAAGACATGCTCAATCTTTGGGGTTTTCTGGAAATGAAAAATAAATGAAATGAAAGGTGGGAATCGGGAATAATTGAGCTTTTGCTCGTTTTGTTTTTACTTGCTTCATGAGTCTTTGCTGCCCCTACGGACCGAGATCCTTGGGATCAATTCAAAAATTCACAACACCGCTCCACCAACACCATTAGCGGCACAACCACCAGTTGGAGTCAGGTGGGAGTAGAACAGAAAAAGCAACATTTGTTTATTAAACATAATCTCAGTTATTTTCCAATGCTTGGGCCCATTTGTGGTTCTGTTTCATGAGTCTTTGCTGCCCCTACGGACCGAGATCCTTGGGATGAATCCAAAAATTCACAGCGGCTTCCTTGAGCACCCTTTTAGAGGCACTTGGGATCCCATTTCGACAGACGGAGAACCCGTCATTGTGGGCAAAATGGGTCGGAATTGGGTTGTCCAATTCTACAGCCAGCGTTAGTTTTGGGAACCGGTGACCACATGGGGCAGACAACGGATTGGTTACCGGATGGCCCAAAATGGACGCTTCCGATTTGCGGATTGAAAAGGGGACTATAGGCAAACCTAGTATGCCAAACCAAGCGCGATTGCACTCGCGCACAGAGAACACGCAGCGATCTTCAGCCATCACAGCGATCTTTTTTGCATTTCAAAACCTTCAAATTTTTGAACAGAAAAAGTGTACACCGGGCTTTCGCGGTTGAAAAATCGATTGACTGTGTTAGTTTTAATGTTTTTCTTATAAAAAATCAATCTAAAAACAATGATTTCAATACATTTCTCATTGAGAATGGTTCTAATTTCACAAACAATATCTCATTTTGTCTTTGTAACTTATGTTTTCCAATTTAAACTTTTTCAAACACGTCTTGAAAGCTTTTCCAAGACCTCTTTCAAACAGCAGCTTTTCCAAGAGCACTTTTCGTGAGTCAAGTTCTTCAACTTTTTCTTCTCATAGCTTTAAGTGCTCATAACTACGCTAAATGCTTGTTGTATCGAAGTATTCTTTATATCGAAGATTGTTTCTTAACATTTGTTTAACATTTGGTCGGGACCGAGCATGGAGTTCGTTATATCGAAGCAATCGTTATATCGAATTGGCCATTCATTGAAATCATTGCCAGCAACCATACTTTTATGAACTTGTCCTCTCTCTTTATAAGCCAGCCTTGTAACTGTAATCTTTCGTTTTCCGCCTCTTTTGCTCTTTTCTCTTTGCTCTTTAAGAAAAAATTTCTCTAAGAAATGGCTCTTTTCTCTTTTTTTGAACAGACACCAAGAGTGGAGGTTAGTGATTTTCGGAAATTCTCCTAAAAAAGATAAGAAAGAGGTTTGTTTCGAAAGACACGGTATATAAACTAACCATTTTCCTTATTCATTCCGCCCATTTTCTTCTTTCGAAGTTCTAATTTCGAATTTTTAACCTATTGTATTCGGTTGAATTCGAAATTTCGAAATTTCGAAAAACTTTTCGGAAAATTTCGGGATTCTTTTGCTTATTCTCAGATTTTCTCAGATTCACCTCTTCTGATTATTCTTCGAATTTCGAAAATCCATTGACCCAACTCAAAATTTAAGCCGATTTTCGGAAACCTTTCTCTTTAGCAAGATTCTCTTTAGCTTTTCGAATATTTTATTTTCTGCCTATTCTCCACTAATTCAAAATGTCCTCCAACTCTCAGCTAGCCAAGGATCAACAAACCCTGCCCATCCTGCAGCACAAGGATGAGTTTTTCGAGCTCTTTCAATAATGGATACAGAGGAAATGTTCTTGAAGATCGGGCCAGCAATCATGAGATCGGATCTCAAGAATGTTGTGCTAACATTGAAAAGATTGGGCATCAAGAATCTGAACGAGTTTGACTTCATCGATGCACCGCCTCAAGAGAAGCTGGATGGAGCTTTGGAGTTGATGAAGAGCTTGGGAGCACTTGACTCAAATGGAGATCTGACAGAAGTGGGCTCGCTGATGACCGAGTTTCCTTTTGCACCGGAAATGTCGAGAACTCTCATAAAGAGCACCGAGCTTGGATGCAGTGATGATGTGCTGAGTATTATTGCAATGTTGTCCATACCAGAGGCTATTGAACTCCAAAAGGGCTACTCCAAACTCCACGATTCATCTGATCACTTGACTCTCCTCAACATCTACAAGGATTACCAACAAAATGAAGCTGAAAACGATGTGATAAAAAGAGTGAACAAAATAAGAAATCAATTGGCTGATTACATGAGCAAACTTGATTTGCCAAAAATCTCAAAAGAATCTGTAGATTTTGATCATCAATCGAATATTCTCAAATCGTTTACAGCTGGTTTCTGCCATCAAGTGGCTCGTTTTAATGAAACGAACAAGTATAAGACGATGTCGAGTCAGTTCGTGAGCCTCGATCCAAACAGTGTGCTCAAAGGACGAAAGCCTGAATGGGTGATCTACAATGAACTCGTGCTTAGAGCTGAGAGCTTGATCCGAACGGTGAGCGAAGTGAAGGAAGAGTGGGTGTTTTGAAGATTCCACCATCTCTCCAGTTCCCCCAAATTTTCTATCTAACTTAAGGGTAATTCTGAATTTTTGCCCCGCCAACAAGTTGATATGCAAATTGATCTTTGACATCTTACTTCTTCATTGAATTTTAACATGTTTGATCATAGTTTTGATATGGTTTTGAATAGACTTGAGCTAGAATTAATGAATATATACATAATAAGATAATTTATACTATTTTCTCCGTATTTTTACCAAACTAGAGACATACAGCGGAAATTTACATTTATGCAGTTTGGTTGACCGGGCAAAGATGCAGAAGTACCAACAGAAATAACCCGTCCCTTTTTTGTAGGCTTATATTTCTGTTATTTGTAGACCAAAACGATTAATTTCTTTTTTATTAAAATGAAAGTTCACATCGTTTTCTGTATAGATTCAAGATTTCATGACCATAGCATCGATAGATAATCTTTTATGAACGCTTAAAAATGGCTGGTCAAAAATTAGCGAGCCGTAACTTGAATTTAAGGGTTCCTTTATCGATCAACTTATAGAAAATTTTAATACATTTAATGTTTTTTTGAACTGAATCTACTTAAACAGAACAAAAACTTAGCTTTTAGAAAAAAAAAAGAAAAAATTATTTTGTAAGGTTTTTTTTTTGAATTTGAATTGCGGTTAGGCATTTTTTTGGACCAGCCATTTTTGAGGGTTCATAAAAAATTATCTATCGATGCTATGGTCATGAAATCTTGAACATCTACAGGAAACGATGTGAATTTCCATTTAAAGAAAGAAATTAATCGTTTTGGTCTACAAATAACAGAAATATGAGCCTGGAACGGGTTATTTTGAGCCTGGACGGGTTAGCCTGGACTATTAGCACGGGTTATTTTGAGTCACCCTGTATTGTTCTCCATATTATCATCCATTTTACGCTGCTTTTTCTAGCAAAGAAAGAGTGATTTCTTTGCCTATTCCTGCTTATGAATCCTATTCGTCTTTCCATTCCAGATTTTTAAAAATCCAAATTAACAGTAGGTTACTTGTTTTCTACTTTTAGTTCTTTACATAGTTTAATCCTTTTGTTCTTTTTGTTTATAGTATTTGTATTATCCATCTTGGTTTCTATATTACTTTGTTTTTCTCTTCATTGAGGTTCCATTTCCAGTGTCATTCCCATTTTTCCAGATCGAGTCCTTTTGACCAATCAATTTTACTAACTCATCCTTTATACTTCTAGTTTTCTACATATCACTTTAATCTATTCCAAGTTTTTTGCTGGTATTCATATTTGCATTCGTCTTTTCCATCGTTTCTTTTTATCCCATTGTGTTCTCATATCTTGACTTTTTTGTATTTCGTGCTTGATAACTCACTTAAGCTGGTGGTTAAATATATTTTGAAGAAAAACAGAAAAACAATACATCAGAGCAAAATGTTTTATGCCTTTTCACTCAACAACCATTTCATTAATATATTTTTTGATGTCGATGAGAAATCGTTTACAATGTTCTCTCGTTTTTCGGTTTCCCGTACAAAGTAGATTGTTATCAGGCTAAATTTGCTTTTGCTTGAGTGCGCACTACTAAAAATGATAAAATATGGTTATTTTAGAGTTCAGGCAGGATTTAACTTGACTTGTCTAGAAATCGAAACCTTCAATGTCCAGAATCCGGACCAGCTTGATCTTCCAATTTCCTCACACACAAACCAAAATCCTACTACGAAAGTAGAATCCGCAAATGCCTGTAAATTGCCTGTAAAATCGGCAGAAGTCGTCAATAATAATGGAAATTATTTGGAATGAATTGATGGTTTTATGTTGAATAAATTTTAGTTCAAAGTCCCGCAGTTTTCAATTCACCAACCCAATTCCAACATGGTTTTCTTTTCTCATTCTTTTCCAATTCTCTTCTAATGCTTTTCTAACTATCTTTTTATTCCATCAAGTCTTCAGCAGTTTTCAATTCACCAGCCCAATAATAAAAGACGCATTTAGGGCTCAATCGTAAAATAGAAGACGCTTCTTTTAGAATCATTACGGTAAATATGTATCTAAAACCTATATCTAGAAAAAGAAATCTATCCATAACTAGAAATTTAAAAATTTCATGATCCCTATGCATGAGATTTCTGAGCCACTCAAAATATTCATTTTGGCACCACAACAACCCCTAGGAGCCACTAGAAATTCTGAGAAACTCGAATGACTTTTTTTCCAAACACTTTATTCCTTATTTAAAGTAGTATACAAAATACAACTAAATCTACTGATTCTACAGGATGCACAAGCCTTTCCAATTCTTGGCAAAGGTGTCAATACTACAAATCGATCGATTCCACCAGCGGCACTTCCATCAAATCTGCTAAAGTGGATATTATTATTAATGTCATGTATTAATGGATATTATTAATGGCACCTCGAAAGGCTAAGTGACGTGAATAAATTGAAAAAGATTGTATTTTTATAGACAAAAACCGAGAACTGATATTTTCAATCAGAAGAAATCAAAAATTTCGATAGATATAAGTAATTTTTGAATGTAATTGAATGAAATTGGATGAAATTGAATGAAATTAAATGGAATTGAATGAAATTAAATGAAATTAAATGAAATTGAATGAAATTAAATGAAATTAAAAGGAATTGAATGAAATTTAATGAAATTAAATGAAATTGAATGAAATTAAATGAAATTTAATGAAATTTAATTCAATACACTTCTCACATTATTGAAAGTCTCATCACGAAAAAGGCTATCAATAGATGGGATTTTATTATAAAGGCAGGGGAAACCGAGTTATTCGTGGTCGTCGTGAAATCGTTTGTAAGTGGAGAACGCTTTGAAGTCGGGTGCTCGTCTGTCGTTGCTGAATTCGTCTTTTTGTTAGTTGTGACTAAATGGTTGGTGGATATGACTGTAAATTGTATAAAAAATGGACACCGTAGCTCACTTATAAGTTGAACTTGAGCTAAGAAACCCCCAGTTTCTTAGCTCTACACAAATATCTTGTTCTTGTTCCTCTAACTTGTTACAAAGATTCCTATAACTACCATTTTCCTATTTGCCCAAAGTTTAGCTAGTTGTATTTCGAAATAATTCAAATTTTGAATTTCACCGCTTGTAATGGAATGCTTCGAAGTCGGATAATCACTTGTGGCTGTGGCGGCGATTTTAGTTGGAGTAAGAGGAGTGGTGGTTGTGACTGTAAATTTGAGCCTAGTTCTGTTAACTGGAAAGTTCTGTTACTTTTAAAAGAAGCCCCATAAAATTCGATTGAAAAAAAGATCAAACGTTATCAAAAATACTTAATTTTTAGAAAAGTTAACTATTTTTATTATATGGAATCAATTTTTGAGAAATTTTAGACTCTCACAACGAAAGTTTAGACTCTCACTACGAAAATTTAGACTCTCTCAACGAAAATTTAGACTCTCTCAATAAAGGATCTTTTTCAGAAGCCGGCAATTCTATGTAATTTTGAAAATTCGTAAAATGGCTAAAGATTTGTTATTTCTAGCTGAATTTAGTTGTAGAGCGGCTAGTTTTAAAGAAAAATTACTCCTCTTTTTGAATATAAAACTGGATAAGCTTTATTTATGTTCCAGCTTTTTCAATTACTGGATTTGTCAGCTCGATCGTGCGATCAGCGTAGAGAACAAATAGCTTTGCTTGAAATGACAATAAAACCCATCTTTTTGATGAATCTTCATGATAAACGCTTAATTTTAATTAAGAAAAGTTCAAATATTGATTTTACTATTTTACTATAGCTTTGCTTTCACTTTTCCTTTGTCTTTCCTTAGCCGCTTTCAAAATTAACAGAACTTTCCAGCCATCCTGTATATTTTTACAAATTGGTTTGATATGACATGCTTATTTTTCCTTATTTCTGAGTGCAAGCAATCACGGAGTGACGACGAATATCTTGTTACTTGTTTCTAAAGAAAATCTCAGCAGAAAGCCGTTTGTCGCTTGGAGATTCGATGCATTCGCCCAAGAAAACTAGAGTTTATAAATCTAAGAAATGGATCTTTTAACAGTACCTTTATTTTCCGCACATTGCCAACATTGACAAACGATGGATAAGATGAGAAACTGCTGTCATATGTCAATCTAAAGGGTCGATTGAATTGATTCCTAAGGTCAACTTGAGGGTAAATCACGATCAATGAGAAACCCACCGTCCCTTCTCCACTAGTTGATCGTTTATATCAAAGAGTTCGATCTCGAGATTGCCCGTTTCCACAAAAACGACTTCCAAAGCGACATCCACATCATTCAAACCTGCAAATTTTGATGATTTAGCTAGCTCACTAGGGATAGGAAAGATGTAACCGTGAGATTTCGAGATCAAATTAATCTTACCCCTGAAATCGGCATTGGGGAATCAGAACCTGATCAAAGTTTTCCAATTTTCCCACCCCTTCCGTGTCAAGTTTAGACTTGACTTTTTGGCTTGGTGGCTAGTGAGCGCGTATACTAAACCGTCTCTTTTTGTCGGTTCGGTCCTTTTTTTGACCCTGATCTGCCCTGTTTTCAGAGATAACTGACCACAATGGTAGCTGTAGTCCCAATTGCTCGTTTTTCCGTGCGTAACACCGGGACCATTCATGAAAAATGTGCCATGGCATTCTTGCCTCACTCTTTCATCCGAATCATCTTAAATTTGCCTAAAGAATGGGAAAAACGTTAAAAGAAGGTACATCCTTGGTATGAGCCGAGTCTCATGATTGGGGTGCATTTTGGGGGAACGCGAATAGCATAGGTGGTGGAGATGAACATTTGTTCGTCAAACTCCTCATGAGCTCTGAAATGAATTCCATAAATAATGTATAGCTTAGAGTGGTAAATAATGAGTGTTATTCTGCCCATCCTATATAAACTTTAGATTATTCCAAACGCTTTTTGGTTACTAAAAAACTAGAACTAGAAAAACTAAAAGCGCATCCCCGCACTACGCGCATCCCCGCACTACGCGCATCCCCGCACTACGCGCATCCCCGCACTACGCGCATCCCCGCACTACGCGCATCCCCGCACTACGCGCATCCCCGCACTACGCGCATCCCCGCACTACGCGCATCCCCGCACTACGCGCATCCCCGCACTACGCGCATCCCCGCACTACGCGCATCCCCGCACTACGCGCATCCCCGCACTACGCGCATCCCCGCACTACGCGCATCCCCGCACTACGCGCATCCCCGCACTACGCGCATCCCCGCACTACGCGCATCCCCGCACTACGCGCATCCCCGCACTACGCGCATCCCCGCACTACGCGCATCCCCGCACTACGCGCATCCCCGCACTACGCGCATCCCCGCACTACGCGCATCCCCGCACTACGCGCATCCCCGCACTACGCGCATCCCCGCACTACGCGCATCCCCGCACTACGCGCATCCCCGCACTACGCGCATCCCCGCACCCGCATTTGAGGTATCGAAAACTGAGTTAGGCTCAATAAATCGAGAATCGGAAGTTCGTGTCTTTCCCTAGTAAGTCACATTTCTCTATAACAATTTTTTTTGCAATCTAGTAATGAACCATTTGTAAACCTGCTCACTTTTCGAAAATCTTCATCTTCTTCATTTTAAAAAAATCTGTCGATAGGATTTTAAAATAAAGATTTTTGAGTTGAAATTGAAGTTGAAGTTTTTGCGTTCATTTTTGAGTTGAATGTCTGCGTATCGTCATATTCACCATATCAAAAAATTCACCAGAAAACGTATTTTCGCGCGGATTTGCAATGGCCTTATGGTATCACAAGACATCGTATGGAAACTGTTTTTAAAGTTATTCTCAACAGTTTCATTCTTTTTAACCTCAGAAGACAATAGAAAGTTTGAAATGTCAGTTGTACTTCAACCTTCCCTGGACTATTGTTTCTTCCTTATAAAATGCGAGCTTTTCTGTGGGTGGGTGCGTGTGTGTGAGTGAGTGTCTGTGAGTGAGTGTCTGTGAGTGAGTGTATGTGAGTGAGTGTATGTGAGTGAGTGTGTGCGTGTTTGTTAATTCTATTTGTGTGCAAGGAATTCCCACTTTGTTTTCAGTAAAAACAGCTTCGAGTCGGTTGATCTTTCTTTGGGCACAGGAATCGATCCACTGTAAAACTCGTACTCGCACCGATCCTTAATGCGCGTGTTTGAGAGAGGTTTCTTGTCATAAAAGCAAACTTGGGCATTTCTGGGCAACGAGAACCAATGATATCCGGTCGCCATCAAATTCCCGCCCTTGTTGTTAAGTGTGTCCGTCACATAAAGAACCCAAAAATCAGTGTCTCTCGAGTCGATTGTCGTCCTCACATCACCTCTTTGAGAGAGTTCCGAGGTCAAAACGACGCTTGGTGGGTCGTCTGAAAGAGGAAGGAAATACAGAGTAAGACAGAAGGTCGGAGCCACCTCGTTCTTAGGGCCAAACAGAAATTTTTTTTGCAAAACAGTTTAAAAATTCGAAATCTGGATAAATTTCGGTCTAGAAAGCATCTTTCCGCAAAAACTAACACATACAAAAGGCTCATGACACTTGTGAGTAATTAGTGAATGTACATCTACTAGGTCAGCTTCAAATCTTTCTCTGTTTGCTAGAAAGGATCTAATCAAGATCCCATGGGGATTATTTTTGGTTTCTTGAAAAACTACTATTTTGAATATGTTCTTTAAAGGCTTCTTTCATAGTCAGAGAAGGCAAAAAGGAACAAAAGAATTGGCGTGACCTAGTGGTTCAAAGCGCTTCACTTGAGAAGAGATTTGTTGGTTCGATCCTCCACGCTGGCGTTTTCTTTAAAAACAAGTTGATCGATGAGTGGCTAAGGTTTAACTATGTATAAGGGCGAACAATATTTTAACCAGCCGCTCTGGGCGTTCGCTACGCGGCCGCACGGAGAAATTAACTAAAATCTCCTATATTTAGTGGATAGATCATGCTAGTTTTAAATTTCCTAGAAAATGATACAGAAAATGAGCCTAGAAAATCGGTGGACTGGCAGCTGAGGGTTGAGATCTAGGGTGGGAGTACGCAATACTACTGTTTCCGTTGCGCATAGAAAACATCTGGCCTCAATGGGGAACTCGGCGATCCGGAAAACCTAGAAAGGTGTTGTTTTTGGAGCTCTAGCATCTCGCCGTTCTCGAGATGAAAATTGCGTACGGGCGGACGGACGGACAGACATCCCTTAATTATATATAGTAGATTTAGAAAATGGCAACGAATTTCGATTAGATTTGCTTGCTATTAGATGCTGCAAATGAGATAATGTCCATACAAATATCTATCTGATATCCGGCTCAATCTAGTATTCGAATTTTGAAAGCATTCTGAATTTCGTATTGAAATTTGAATTTTGGAAACATTTGAAAATTTCAAAAACAGTTCCGTCGCTTCAATTGTTTCTAACACTTACCATCAGGCGGAAAAAAGTTTCTCAGACGAATTGAGGCCGCGTAGTACAAATTAGTAGCAGAGCCCTGGTTGTCAAATTCTTGTCGGATTGTCCATTGGTTGTTTTGTCCTATTGGAACCACATAACGACAACATATTGCTGTATAAGCTTCATCTGATCGTTGACTAAATGATAGTTTTCTATAACCCACTGATGGACGTAATTTTTTGCCGCTAGTGAACGAGTTCTACAAGCTGCGAATTATCTATGGAATGGGATCGGTAAGCTAGTTTCGATAGCTTGAATACGCCGTGAGAATATGCCTCTCTGAATGACATATAAGCTCTTTCGGGTGAGCGAATTGTATAGTTCATCATATTAGGTTGGACTGTTCGGGACTGTCTGAAACACCAGTCATCTTTACCGCCACGCACCGCCATAGTTTGACGTCTATTCACTAGGGGCAGAATCCGTAGCTCAATGGTAGACGCTAATCCTAGACTTGATTAATCGAGACTTATAGACACCGAGTCAATTACGGTGCTTGTCGTGGTCATTGAGCTCAACTCCCTATCGACCAAAAGAGACCTCTCAAAAGTCTGGATAAAATTGGTATTCGTATTGGTACTGGTATCGAAAAGCCTAAATAAAGCCAAGATGGCTAGACCAAGTCTAGCTGATTCTGCATCCAGATCCTAGAGGTGGGGGTTCGTTTCCTTCCCAGATCAAACTCTCTTGAAAGCTGAAAACCCTGTCACTTTCGAAACCACTCTTTTTTTTCTTTTTTTTGAAAACTTCCAAGGCTACCTTACGTTATCTTAGAATTCTGTTCGCAGGTCTTTGGATCTTTCAGCTCATCATTGAGCCAAGCTTTTATTTTCCTGGAATTTGAATAATCTGTAAAACAAAGGTCGACGATAGCTTCATCATATTCGAGACAATCTTCAATCTTCGAGACAATACAGGTTTGTGTTTGTCCATAGCCTAAATTTATGAGCTGTTTTTTCGTCATTGCTAAAAGTCATCATATTTCCTTAAGAAAAACTCACCAATCCATCCAGGATACAGTAAAAATCCAGGAGAGTTGGGGCCGATTTCAAAAGTTTCGTTGCAGGAACGATCAGCATCAATTTGACGATCAAAAACTTTGAAGGATACGGTAGTATTCTTAAATTTGTTATGGGTTTTTGATGCTTTCTGATAACAGAAAATCACTAGCTTTTCCCATACCTCTTTGGTTACATTTGGCCGACCATCTTGGCTCTTTACCATTTCCTCAGATGGACGACAAGTAGCGACCACAATCAAACAAGCAATCGTCAAAAGTAAACCGCGAACGATTCGCATGATTGGAGAGCTTCTGGAATGAGAAGTCAATCTAACTCTCTGTTACTCTGCAATAGAATTAAAATTAAGCTGCATTCGAATCGAATAAATGGAAAACTAAGGTCTGTGTTGACACTAAAATACGATGAAAACTATAATTTTTAAAGTATCAACAAAGCTCTCAAATAGAGCACATAAACATGTAAAAGTGGTGACGCGGAGAGAATCATACAGCTTATCTTTCTCCAACAAAGCCCTGCCCAATAGCATCTTTAATACTGCTTTTTGAACACCTTTGATAAGTTTTCCACTTTTCGATGGGTAATCCATAGCCTGTCTGCCCTAAGAATTCAGGAACAGGGTATTAACAGGCAAGAAACAAGGAACGAAGAAGGGGACTTTAATCGGAGTGGCCTCTGTCGCCCAAAACCCATTGATAAGGGTCAAAATGGAGTCATACTCTCGTTGCTATATGGAATAGTTGGTTGTCAACTAAATAACCGGACTTTTTCACTAAAAATTGGTCTTACAAATGTTGAGAGCCAAAAGCGCCAAATGACGTACGGTTTGCACCAAGGAAAGATCTATATTTCCTCTGCAAAATGGTTGTTAGCAATTTAGAAAAGCTTTCGCTTTTGGGGTTTTTCGGGAGCGCAAAAGTTTTTGGTTGAATTAATTAATTTAATTAATTTAATAAGGAATTAATTTCCTTTTTAATTCTAATCTTAATATTTTAGCTATTTATGCTAATAATATATTTTATGCTAGTAATTTTGATAAATCTCTTCTATATATAAAAGAATAACCTCTGTCCGTCTGTGCACGCACTACGGGCGTCTCCTTTGAGTATTTAAAAAAACGCTAAAACACGTGTCTAATGAAATTTTATGTAGTTGTGCCTTGTAAAAAAAATTTACTAAAAGTCAAAGTAGGTGGCCACTGGCGGGGGTCGAACCCGGGTCGTGTGCGCGTGAGGCGAGTGCGCTATCCACCGCGCTATGGATGCAATTTCGAATTTTACGCTGAAATTTGCATGGTAGGACTTTCCCACACAGGGAATTCATTTCTGGCAGTCATTTTTACGATTTCTGAAGCAGTTAGGCAGTTAGCCGTTAGGCGGGCTGTTTTGCTGGTAAATGAAAAATTCACCAATTGACTTAGAATTGACTCTAAATAGAAAATGTTTATTACCGTATTCTCTCTAATAGTAGTGCGCACTACTATTTTTTCAACCCCCTCCTGGACCGCAATACTATTAGAGAGTGCACTACTATTAAAGAGTTTTATCATTTACCAAAGTAAGACTTGTTTCTTTGTTCCAATATAAGATTTGTTCCAAAAATTCTTGCAAAAAAAGTAACTTTCTAAAAATTTATTGGCTTCTGATAACAAAAAGTTAACTAAACAAAAAAATCTACAACAGAATCATCATCCTTATCCAGTTCAATATTTTTGCGTTGATCCTTTACTCCGTTGATCGATTGTTCGAGACGAGCATTGGCGAGAAGTGTTGCGCCTTCAGGAATCGGTCCTTCTTTTTTGAAGCAATGAATGAGACCAATTCCTCATCACCTTTCCACATTAACTTGGCTCGGAATTGAATCATTTTTCACTCGCATCTTCTTTGCCCGCATTTCTTGAATCCAAGTAACAAGATCCTTGTCAAAATCGAAATCCTTGAGCTTTCGTCCACCGCCTTTGATTCGTTTTTTCCTTTTCCGTTATCTCTGTTTTGTTTCTCGAGTTCTTCCTTTTGCTGACACCATTTTTGGATGTTTTGACGACTGACTCCAAATTTTCGCGCTGCAGCCGACTTATTCTTTATTTTTTCAGCAAAATCGATCGCTTTCAGCTTTGTTTGAACGTCGAAACATCGTCGCTTTTTCGCGGATGGTGCATCCGATTCACACGAAGACTCCTCGGCAACATCATTGGCCATGTTGTAGCTAGCGTCTTGCTCGGTCACTTGATTGTGGATCCTCTTGAAGAATTGCACATGTTCCTCGTGTTCACGACGAGCTCGAAAATTCTCGAATCCATCAACCGAGTTCCCATCGAGATCCATGCCTAAAGAAAAAGATTATTTGGACAATAGTAAAGGTGACCAACAAAAATTATATAATATTAAAATCGAACATGATGGATTATTTTCTAGGATTGAGCTTTGATAACAATAAAGTTAAGCGCCACAAAAGGTAAGTCAATCTCAAACTTTATACAGGTATATAAGAGCAAAAAATGACTATAGCTTTGCGCGGAATTCGCAAGAAAATTTGAGTTAATGTACCACTAAAACAACGTGTAGAAACAACAAAAAGATGTTTTGGCACTTTGCACAACAATTTTAGTTTTTTTGCTAACTTTTTCATGTGAAGAATAGTTAAAAAATGAATAAAAAAGCCTCGCTTTTGCTTGCTTGAATAGCTTTAGAATGCAACATAAACATAAAGATATTCAGTCAAAAAGGTTGAGATGAAAAAGGAGCACAATAAATGCAAATTTTTGAGGGTGCACTACTATTTTTTCAACCCCCTCTCGGACCGCAATACTATTAGAGAGTGCAATACTATTAGAGAGTGCAATACTAATAGAGAGAATACGGTATTCATTTTTCTATCTTTTGAAGACAATTTTGATCTTTTTACATAGTAGGCTTTTCTAATGGAGCCAATTGTAGGTCAATTGGTGAATTTGTCATTTATAAACGGTAGTAGAAAAAATATCGAAAGACTTATGGGTCAACCTAATGGAATACCTTATGAATGTGTTGGATCTAAAATTGTAGACCACTATAACTGTATTGATAGTAACAAAGGTTTGCATAAAGAAAAAGAAAAGGAAAATTATAAGAAAAGGAAAAGGAAAATTATAAGGAAAAGAGCCGTGTTTAGTGTTTCGACAAAAGTGTTTAGACAATCATTTTGATCTAGTATTTGCGTAATTTCAGTACATAAACATTTTGAAACAAATACCACAATACTCAAGTTATTACTTTCGAAGAAGAGTTTATTATTTATTAGTTCTCCACACTATTAACTGCACATTTTGCACGCGTTTGGGCAATACGACTTTTTCATGTCCTGAGTGTAGGCGAGAGACGTACAAAAGCCGTTTGGCACCCAATTCACACAACTGAAAACAAAAAAAGTTTTATTGCTTCTTAAAAATCTAAAAATGTGCTTGCGTTCTCAAGGAACGGTTGATTTGACCTCATCTTGTAAACCCACTTTGTATTATCGGTACAGGTGATCGTTGAGGTGATTGTCGTGGTGCAAAGATTGCACGAGCCCGGGCAATAATCTTTCTTTTGTTGGAGCGTGTAGCCAGTTGACGAGCAGAATCCGTTGGACACCCAAGTGGCACAGCTAGAAAACCGAAATTAGTGGTTATCAAAACTACCAGTAATTCAGTAACGATTCAGAAAATCAGATAAAGTTAATACTGTCTTAAAAGCAGAGAGAAAGTAGATCTTAATACAGTAAGCTAGAGGCTATAGCGCCGATTTGATTGTGAGACATTTGATTGCCGTTTGCCATTGGTAATCTAACTTTGAGCTCAACTTTCTTGGTGTTGGGCTGTCCAATTTAAATAGTTTTTGTACCAATCGACAGAGAAAGACTTGGCGCATCTAATGATACCAAGAATATTTAAATTGGATAGCCTAACGCCAAGATATTTGAGCTCAAAGTTAGATTGCCAATGGTAGACGGGGCGGGCGCGTATCAAATGTCCGATCGCTAGAAGATGACCTTCCGAGTGGTAAGCCCTCTATGGCAAGATTGAGATAATCAGTTATGACTTCAATTGCTCTGGTAGTCAGCATTATAAAGCATTAATTATTATAAAAACAAAAGGTTAGGTTACAAGTCGATGATTTCTGCCTTTTGGACAGCTAAAAAGGGGTTAAGCTTGACTCCGGTCTTTTGGAATAATAATATTAGAATTACTTTGCATTCAAATCGGCACAGGCCGTCTTGTTTGGGGCAGTCGAGCGTGTTGTTGTGAGAAGAACGACGGGTTTAGCGGTAGTTTTCGTCTCGACGACAATCGGATCCCCCGAGGCATCATAGGTGGCCGCCGTGGAGGCGATCTGGCTGACCTTCACAGTTGACGGTGTTGAGGCGGATACTGAAAACGAATATTAAAGTGAACCGTAGCTATTATGGTGTTATGAACTAGGTTGTTATCGCACCGTAACGATACGTGAAAGTGTAAGTGGTCGATTGGAGTCTCTCGTAGCCGATGACAGGCATGAGATGGGCCTCAGAGACCACCGTCATTCCCTGGTCATCCGAACAGCAAGCTCTAGAAAGGGAAATGATTCGGCTTGTTACCAAAAAGTTAGCAAGCAGGGTTTTTCTGGGAATACGAACCGAGCTCCAGTGTATCGATGGTCGCTCATCGCTTTGAACTCGATACTCTTAAATGGACATCCGGGAGTGCAAGCGATCACTCCGGTCATCGTCTTCAGCACCACTTCCACTTTGTTCCCAATCGGCGCCTAGATTTGTTAATAGTTAGCCTGACCAATCACTCGTTAATTTCCTTCCTTGATAGAGCTAATCCCTATGAAATGGCTTATTACCTATAACATGTTCAAAGCTATACTATAAAATAAAGCTTAATTGAGGTTTTTAAAGAAAAAGAGTTGATTCATTAGATTTTAGTTTAATAGATATAGTTAATTTAATAGATTTAAATAGAAATAGTAAAATAGATTTTAGAAATTGAGAGCTTTGATTGTTTTAAGCAATCTCCTATTTCTAGTAATACTCAAAGTCTGCTAGTATCAGTAATTGTGCAATATCCTGTATTTGACTACCTTTTACTTGTTCTTTACCACAGTTGACTATAATTCTTTACCTTAATCATGTAATTACAAGTTTCCATCACGTTTTGCATGGCGGCTCCCATTGTGCCGAGGGTAAACGTCTGAGTCTGCGCTGTGGCCGTCGCCGTCAACGTGGCCCCGCAACCGGTTGGCTACAAGATGAAGATATTGTTTCGAATTAAAAGTTTACATGACTAGCATCCAGTGTTCAACAATTCTGATCAATTTTAAAAACAAGTTACAGTATAAACGTTTACAGTTTGAATAGACAAACCCTTTCCGTGCACGTGGTCCCAGCCCAGCCAGATGGGCAAATGCAAGTGTTGCAGTTTCGCGAGTTTCTGATTCCACCATTCATACAAGTCGCTCCAGTTGTGCATTTTTCTGAAGAAAAACACACGTAATAGATTACATTTGATATAGTACAGATTACAGAGGACAGGACCGAACATGTTCAGTCGATCGGTCCCGCTCTTGATCCCGGTCAGTCGAAAATCAGAGACCGACCAGACTGGATCGGATCGAAACATGTCTTGTACTGATACAATTGTGTTTTCGATGAAATTACGTTTCTAGATTTTTTTCCAGATCTTCTAGATTCTAGAGTTTCAATTTGTTTAGGTATCTATGCTTTTGGGAAATCCATATTTTTATAAATCTAATAAATATTAGGCTGAGTACTAACTCGGGAAAGCCACGAACTTGCCGTGAGTTTTCGTTTCCGAACCACATACATCTTACTAAATCCAGAATGGAGATAATCTGAATTTAAAATCTGCCAAGTCAGCCTGCAGACGCGTAAAAATTGAATCGAAATTTCAAGACTTTAAAGGACTTTCAAGAATTGAAGCTTTAAAGGGCGCTTTTCAATCACTGGGATTTGGAATCACTGGGAACCCCAATTTGGAATCTCTGGGATCACTGGGAACCCCAATTTGGAATCACTGGGATCACTGGGAACCCCAATTTGGAATCACTGGAATCACTGGGAACCCGAAAGGTCGTCCCACAATCCACTAGGCCACTAGGCCACCGGTGCCCAAATCCCAGTGATTAAAAACCCGCCCTTTAAAGCTTCAATTCTTTAAAGTCCTTTAAAGTTTCGAAATTTCAATTCAATTTTTACGTGTCTGCAAGCTGATTTGGCAGATTTTAATTTCAGATTATGAATCTCCATCCTCGATTTAGTAAGATGTATCTGGTCCGGAAAAGAAAGCACACGGGAATTTCGAAAGCACACGGGAAGTTCTTTCTCTAGTAATTTGCATTTCACTATAACGATTTTTTTGCAATCTATAATATAGTAATGAACGATTTGTAAACCTGCTCACTTTTGCACTGATAGTACTCGTTCATCATTGAGATATCGTAGAAAGAGACCGTCGGGCCACCCATCGTGTCTTGGTAGGGAATGACCTAGTAAATGTAAGCTTTATTCTTTATTTTATGATTTGTTGACCAGATTTCTCTCATTTTTTTGTGGAATTATGCTCAAGCTTACCTTTGCCACCATGGCAACTTGACCGTTAGACGAGAAAGCATTCTGATCATACTGCATGACACTTCCATAATCATACGGCATTCCATAGTTGTTATTGCTGTCCACCGTTTCCTAGAATTATCCGCTTGATTAAAAAGCTTGCAAAAAAGATCTAGAACTTGCTAGAGAAAATATTTTCATATAAACTTGCAAGACACTAACTAAGTGAAATATATGAAATATTATTATATATTTTTTTATCATTTGGTAGTTGTAGAGCCTTGAAAAAGTTACAATAAAGTAAAATACTGACTTTTCGATAGTTGGAAACCTTTGCCGCGTCAACACTCGTCGTGTCAATGGTGACTGCTGTGTCACGATCATGTCGGCTTTGCTCGTGGAAGAAGCCAAGGGCATGACCGAGCTCGTGGGCGACGACAGAAAACTGAAAAGCATCATACAGGGTGACGCGCAATTACGGAAACTGAAATGGCAGCGTTCTTTTTGAGGGCTATGAGAACGCGTACTCAAAATTCTGACAGTTTTTTCTGTTTTTCCTGTCAATTAAGATTTTGGCAACATCTTATTTGCTTTTATTTTTGAAATTTAAGAATGACGAAGAAATCGGAGCACAGGGATTCGATCATCAACTTCTACAACAGGGGAATGAGGCAGAAAAGCATCGCCAGTATGGTGGCTGGCTATGGTGGCTAAGTCTGTTAATTCAAAGACAATTCAACGCTACAAAGTCTTGAGAACAAATTTCGGTTGACCAAAACGAGGCCCAAGGACGACAATGACAACAAAGGAGACGATGAAGAAAGTGCGCGAAAGCCTACGCTACAAACTCCCAACGAAAATTAGCCTCAAAAATGGGTATCCCAAGACGTTCAATGGGATTAGCTTTAAGTGTTTGGAATTTCCTAGAGGTCAAGGCATGCTTCAAAGCTCATTCAACCATTGATTCTTTGAAGAAATCCCTTCAAAAGGCTTGGGGTGAACTTGACGTCGCCTATCTTTCTGCCACCGTTGATGCCTTTCCGGCACGGCGCGTCTCCAAAAATGTATCGCAACGAAAGGAAATCTTTTTGAAAAGAACTTTCTTTATATCTCAAAAAAAAACTTTTCTTTTTTTTTGAGATATAAAGAATAAATTTTTATTGCTTAAGATTATTGTTAACAACGAATAGTGGTTATTCAACCAAAAATATATTGGTCCGTAATTGTGCGCCACCCTTTATGCAATATGATCATTACTCGTTTATAGTTGACTTCTACTGATTACTTCTACTGATTACTTCTTAGAAATGAGAAAATATGCTTACATGTTCACAACCAGTGCCAAGCGATAAATCTTGCTGTCCTTTGATCATTCCGATATTCGAATAGCATCCGGTACCCATGAAGAAACGAATTCGGTTGCTAGAAAACATTATCTCTTTTAGCATTTTCTAAGAGGATAGCTAGCATTCTCTAAGAGGATAGCTAAAGTATAGTAATTTTTCTGAAAAAAAGCCTACGGAGCGTCTTGTTTCTCGACAAAATTGATACAGGTCGAGTTTTGCCAGAAAGCGATCGCAATTCTTGACACGGTGATCGCGGCGGCTGAGAGGGACGAATCGAAATAGTAGTAGACGGTGTTATCAGTCCACAACATGGCTGGATATGAGGTTGTGTAGTAAGCCTGCAATAGTTAAAGGGTTCTTTTCTGTTATTTTTTTATTATATATTATATTAAATGTGTTTTCAAAACTTTTTTTTGAACATTTTTCTTAAGCGTTTTGAGAGCTTGTTGGACTTGACAACTCTAAAGCTTTGTTTTTTCAAAAACCCCAATATCGTTTATCTTTCAGTTTGTAAGTTATAAGGTTACATTAAAAATAATTTTTTTTTCTGTTTTTACATGAACTTTCACTTCTTTTGGCATTAGGAATTATCGATTTGAACCAATTTGTTCAAAAACCAATTTGAACCAATTTGACTTTCAAATTTTCGCTCAAATTCTCGTCTATTCACCTTGGAAATTCAAAGATTACTTCAAAGCATTGATCTAAAAATTCTAGATCTAAAAAGACTAGGTTTAAAAGGCAAAAATTTAAGCCAACGATTTTCACTTATCAAAGAACATTTTATTTTTAGGATTCATCGACGCACTGGGCTTTTCCGCGACCCAAGTTAAAGGGAACGGGGCACACCCTAATACACAAGTGATATTCGCTAAGTTTTTCTATTGGGTTGGTGAATTGAAAACTGCGAGCTATTGTCATATGTGACAGTTTGAGCACTTTCTTCAAAAGAAACCCATTTTGGTGTCAATGGAAAAGTTGTAGAGAATCAAAAATCAAGCTTATATCCAAATTTTCAGAACGATTCAAAAACTGGTTTTCAAGAAATGCCAAATTTACGAATTTTCACAAAACTTGCAACAAAACTTGCATTTTAAGCGAAACTACTAAGTGTATCTTTTTGGAAATTTGGCTATAAGCCTAATTTTTGATTCTCTACAACTTTTCTATTGACACCCAAATGGGTTTCTTTTGAAGAAAGTGCTCAAACTGGGACATCTCCAGTCCTCGATTTTTGAGTCTCACACTTGTCTCACACACAAACCAAAATCCTACTACGAAAGAGGAATCCGCAAATTGCCTGTAAAATGGGCAGAAGTCGTCAATAATAACGGAAATTATTTGGAATGAATTCATGGTTTTATGTTGAATAAATTTTAGTTCAAAGTCCCACAGTCTTCAATTCACCAACCCAATAAATTGGCCCCCCGGGTTGACCCAAAGTAATATTTTTCTTAGCTGCCTAAAAAGTGACTCGATGCCTATTCCTAGTTTTCACAAATAGCGATTGAGAAAACGAACTTGACGCTTTTTTCGGCTTTCACCGGTCGACTCATCGTCGTCATCGACAAAGTCTCCAAGTAAGGCATCAACTTGTGGACTAAAATGTTAATTTGACGATCTTTACGATAAAAAAGGTTAAATATAAGGATAATTGCGCTAGTTAATGTGTTTTATGGTGTTGGGCTGTGACCACTTACTCGATAAGCGCCATATCTCCGCCGTACAATGAGCTCGCTACACCCGCGTTTTGATTGATCTGAAAGTATGGATAAAGGTAGCCTCCAGTATAATTTCTAGATACAGAGGGTGCATTAATTATGGGCCGCTTAATGAAAAGCAAGAAAAATCCCTATAGTCATTGGTTTAAATCTTCAATCTTTTACAGATGTATATTGTTAAACCAGTTAAAGTTTAACAATATATATTTGTAAAAGATTGAAGTCTTTTTTATTCCACAAAAAGTTATTTTCATTAGTTTCATTAGTTAGTTTCATTAATAGCATCTCTCGCTTCCGCAATTCTGCAATTCTTGTGCAAGACAGTCAGTGTTTTATTTGGCTTTGATTTCTTAGGCGTTCATAGTAAATTTGAATGTTTAGACCTTTCTTGTTAATTCAATATCAAAGATTATAGTTTCAATAATCTATTTATGGAAGTTTAACTTTCATAGCAAGGATTCTCGCGAAAGCCTGGGACCAACTTAGTGGCGGGTACCCACGCGCCTGCCACATTCGGGCTTTTGAAAAAGATTTAACAATAAATTGCGCTAATATGCTCATACTGTACAGCAACTTAATCATTTTTCCTGTCATCAAATTGTTGGTCATTGCGAAAATTTACAATTGAGGAGTTTCCATTGTCATTTCATAATTTTGCCGCACCCTGTAGTCTAAACACTCACCTCGCTCAACGAATCGCCCTCCTTTTGGGATTTCGGCGACCACTTGTGCTTTCTGATGTGCTGAAATAGAAAATATTAAAAAGACATAGTATAATAACTATACAAACCTTGATCCTCTCCAACATGTCGGCTTTCTCCTCGTCGCTTGGTTGGACGAGTTTGACGCCGTCCTCGTTGAAACGATCAAGAGCTCCCATAAAACGGTCGACATTCGTTCGGCCACCAAGTGACTAAAGTTTGTTTTCGAGTTTGAAGAAATTCTTCTCACATTTTGTCTATCATAAAATCGTCTATTAGTTCTACAGATTCGGCAAAAGTTCACGGAATTTCAAAAAATGTTATAATATTATGTTAGTGCATAAGTCTGTACAATTTTTTCCAAACGTTTTTTAAAAATAATGCCGCCATCAACAAAATTTCTATTTGAACGATTAAAAAGGTTAATTTTTTCTTTACAAAATGGCTTTTGGGAAACTCGTGGAAGTAGATGTTTTTGTGGATTTTCAAAGGCGCGAAGGCGAGCATCCAAAACTGTTCCGATGCCAAAGCTCTGTTGCCAATTTGGATACTTTCTTCAATACAAACCTATTCTGGTGTCAAAGTAAAAAAGATAGAGCTCATTTGATTACATAAGTTTGTAAAATTTGAAAACGATCCGTTTAGCCATTTTCTTTAAAAGAACAATTGAAAATTTTACACAAAAATGCGTTTTTATCGAGTTGAGGTGAGCTTCGAGGTTTTAGAGACAAAAATTTGAAGAAAATTGCAAAGACTTATGCACTAACCTAATAATTTAATGATTTTTAATTAGCTCCTATCGAATGCCCACTTTCTTGAACTGATCCACTTGATCGGTGGTCATGTTTCCCCAATTGTGTGGTTTCCTTGGTCCTCTTCCTTTTCCATTGCCCTTGCCACGCCAAGCTTCTGCCATAAACGAGCACAAAGTGAACAAGATGAGCCCTTGTTTGAGGAACATTGTCTACTAAAGTTTGTTTTCAAGTTTGAAGAAATCTTGTGACATTTTGTAAAAGATCTATCAGTTACACAGATTCGAGAAAAGTTCCCAGAAATTTCGAAAAAGCTTTCTAATCTGGAAATTCAACCATAGCTCTTTAGTTGAACTATTCTAGTGAAAAAGTTGCAATTTTAGATAATGTACTTGATCGCTTTTAAGTCTTTAATTTTATCCAAAGAAAAATATTATGTTTTCTAACATTCTTGGTGCTTCGAAAAATTTCGGGGGCTATAAGGGAAGAGGGAAGAGCTCATTGTCAGGAAGTTAAAAAGTAAAGTGTTTTCATAGAGAAGTGAAGTCCAAAATTCAAACTAAGTAATGTGCCATTTCGGTCACACTTCAGCTTTCTTTAAATACCGTTCAAGGTTCGGTTTTCCTCGTAAATTCTTGCTGGAGTGGTCAATGGCGTTATTTGTGCAGCTTTGCCCCAAAATGGCCGATTGAAGGGCAGCAATTCCTCCATTTGGAAGAAAAAAAATGCTTTAACGTTCAAAAATCAAAGTGTCCTTTTTTTAAAATTGTGCCTATATTGTGCTAGATTTTCTCTTTTCGCAAAACTTCTCCTCAACCGCCCCCACAACCTCGGAAGCAGTTGCACAAATATGTACAGGGTGATCGCGAATTATAGCGACTCACTTCTGAGGATCTAACTCAGCGAGAACTCAATGAATCCGTATGAAATTTTTGGAGATGTTTTTTGAGTATGTCTCCTGTAGCCAAGCCAATTTTCTAACTGATTGGTACTTCTAGAATCTTTATATGACTTTACAAAGTTGAGAGTCGCGGTACACCAATTTAAGGCTTTTGAGAGCCGTTTTTTGAAGCTATTTAATGAATATGATCACGTTAAAGACGAAAAAAATCAAACAGATCAAAGGGTAAAGCTCAGTCTGATAGTAAGTCGAGAGGATTTTCCTCTCGATTGGACTCTTTCTTTGGGATGACACGGTCGATGAACCAAATTGACCTCCATCTGTTTTTAAGATTCTCTTGCTTGTACTTCTTTATTTTCTCTTTTGTATCAAAAATCAACACTCTAGAAATCACAGCTTACCTCATCAAAGTTTAAAGAACCAAAAAAGGACGAACGAATCTTGTCAATACCCAGAAAACCTCTTTTTTTTTCAATTTCCGATCAGATTCTTTTACCTCTCGATGGTAAAGCTCAGCTTTTCTTATTTCCTCTCATTTATTTATCACAGGAATCATTTTGTTTAATAAATATGACTTGTTATATAGAATGGAATGGAGTTGATGCGGGGCTGCTTAGCTTCAGCTTTAGGCTGTAAACCATCGTGAAGATCCATCCAAACCCATTATGGCGCCGACAAATTGTCTTGTCATCCTAGAATGGTAGTTATTGAATATTTCCCCTGTTTCTCGTTTTCAAAAGAATAAACAACCTTTCGTGATTTCCAGCCTTTCCATCCATCATTCCATTTTCGGGATTCGCGAGATCTGTCGACACTCTAGAATGTCTTTGTCAAGCAAAATTTTCTAAAGCCAAGCTCGAGTGATTAATCTACTGTTTTCTAGCCTAAAAAAATCAAAAATTTTACCGTTTCTCGGTTGTCTTGACTCGACCCGACTTAAAAAATTCTGAGTCTGACTCGAAATTCTTGGGTTAGTGCATAAGTCTTTACAATTTTTTCAGATTTTTTTTCCATGAAAAAGAATCCTTTACAAAATTCTTACGTCTTAACCTATTAGAAAGATCCATCATTTCTCTACAAAATGGCTTTTAAAAAGAAAACTAAAAGCTCGCCTCAACTCGATAAAACGCATTTTTGTCAAAAATTTTCCATTGTTGTTTTAAAGAAAATGGCTGGACGAATCGTTATCAAATTTTACAAACTTATGCAATCAAATGAGCTCTATCTTTTTACTTTGGCATCAAAATAGGTTTGTATTGAGGAAAGTGTCCAAATTGGCTTTGGCAGCTTTGGCATCGGAGCGTCGGCATCGAAGCAGTTTTGGGTACTCGCCTTTGCGCCTTTGAAAATCCACAAAAACAACTACTTCCACGAATTTCCCAGAAGCCATTTTGTAAAGAAACAATTAACCTTTTTTAATCGTTCAAATAGAGATTTTGTTGATGACGGCATTATTTTTTAAAAAGCGTTTGGAAAAAATTGTAAAGATCAGTACAATAGTATGTGCTCCTAAAAGCTCTAAGGAAAGTATTATCAAAACTCTATGCATTATGGGTTTGCATTTTCAAATTTTATAGACTTATGCAACCAAATGGGCTCTATCTTTTTACTTTGGCATCAAAATAGGTTTGTATTGAAGAAAGTATCTAAATTGGCAACGGAGCGTCGGCATCGAAGCAGTTTTGGGTACTCGCCTTTGCGCCTTTGAAAATCCACAAAACAACTACCTCCACGAATTTCCCAAAAGCCATTTTGTAAAGAAACAATTAACCTTTTTAATAGATTTTGTTTATGGCGGCATTATTTTTAAAAACGTTTGGAAAAATTTTAAAGACTTATGCACCAATCTAATATTCAAATCTGATTTTTACTTTCCTGATCCCGTTTTTCAAAAGCACTCACATTATGGTGATTATCGAAAGGAGAAAAAACAATCGAGAGAAGAAAATCATCGCTGGTGCGGGAGTCGCTTCGGTATTCTTTGATAAAACGAAAAAAAATGAACTAAACAAATGCCAATTTAAAATCATTTATACACGTAGATCTTGATGGGTTGTTTATTTTCTTATTTGTTGAGGTTTTTTTGAGATTTTTCGAGAAAAATCAGTGATAAACAGGGAGAGTCTGCTGATCGATTTCTCTCTTCTTTTCCCGAGTTTTTTCCACAAAATTCGAATAATAGTTTGTTGCACAAACAACACGCACACATGCACTAATAACAAAATATTTATTGATATAATTTATTCTATCAATGCAAGCTTCAAGATTTAAATAGTCATAGCAGTTAATAATAAACAATCTTCCAAATGTAAGAGTTCACTTGCCTATGTAGCTCGCTGAGCCAGGGAATGGTTTGATTATACAGGGTGACCAAGAATTACCGCAACAACGTCGTATTATTTTATGAGCCCCATTTCACTTTGCTTGCTAAAGAAGGAGGTTATTCCGTGGGCTCAATGCCACTTCAAAAATCGAATTTGGACTTATCAACAAGCTGGTGTGCCGGTTCAAAGAAAGTGCAAGAGTTTTGTTCAAAGGCCTTCCCGGACTTCATCTCGTTTTCTGAGTGACCACTCAGCTCACCCGATCTTAACCCATTGGATTACATAGTCTGGAGTGTTCTTGAAGCCAGGGCATGTGCAAAATCACATAAAAATATCGAAAGTTTGAAGAAGGCGTTCATCAAAACATGGGATACCCTCGATGATGCCTATTTGCTGGATGATGCCACGGTCAACGCGTTTCCCAAACGTTTGTAGGCCTGTCTGAATGCCGATGGAGGCACATTGTTATTTTCAGGAATGGTGAAAGCGTCTCCACATCGACAATCGATCCTTGAGCAGCGTGTTCAGGCGAGCGGCTCAAAGCGCCTGAATGTCCCCAGAAGCCTCGTTTCTCGAACCATTCAACGTTATGAAACTCTGGGCACAGTTTTTGATCGCCCGGAAGCGGTGCAAAACGAACAGCGGTTACTCCGGCTAATGTCAAGAAAGTGCGCGATCGTCTAAGTCTATCATCTAACGGCCTGTCTGAATGCCGATGAAGGCACATTTGAATTTAATTGTTAATTTGTTAGTGTTATATGTTGAATAAAAATATTTAAGTTAACTTTTCGAGATGGGTTGCATATTTGATTAAAAGCCAGGCCTTTTGTGTGTTGCGATAATTCTTGGTCACCCTGTACAGAGAGTATGAAGTCTTACAATGAAATGGTTTGAAGTTAAGGTGACCGTTCGGGATGAGTGCCTTATTCGATAGATCTCATGATGAATATTGATGACCAAAAAGAAAATTAGCTGCCTCAAGTAGTTACTACAACGAGAAATCAACGAGACAATGAGCAAAATAAAATTTTTGACCTTGGCAGAGCTGAAGTGAACCTAAAAAATCGTAAAATTTGATTCCCAAAAGTATTTATAAAATTTTACATTTTAAAGCTATTGATTTTAGCCAAATTTGCTGAAGTTTTTTTTATAGTTTTTATTTTATAGCCCCACGAAGGAGGGTCAAAAACGTCAGCCGTCAGCCGTCAAAAACGTCAGCCAAAAACGATTTCTCGTTGAATGTTAACCTTGGAAGAACAAAAAATTCGTCTCTCCTGCTTCTGTAAATGTTGCATTTGAAAAAGTTTCGCGTTATTGATGTAAAGCATCGTCGACGAGAAAAAAACAAAAATGTTCATTCAGAGTTGGTAAGAAAGTGCGTTGATAGGCGCAAATTTGCCTCAAATGATACGCGACGCAAATAATTTGGCCCTTTTGCTAGCACCTCCGAAATGATTCCTAATTCAATCTTTAATAAAGTACAACCCAGTTTCCTGGGTGTAGTGGGGAGATTTGCATATAGGGGAATCAACTCTCCTACATGTCATAGACATGTAGGAGAAATCTTAAACAAAAAACAAAAGAAAATTCTGTAGTGAACATAATCAGTGAAAACTATGAAGACATTCCATTTAAAAACAGATAAAATTTGAGAGAGTTGGTACGGAAAGTAGGTAAGTACATATTTATGCAGAATATTGCGGAAAGTTTTAGATTGACTTACTGGGTAACTCAGTCTCACTAACCAATGAAAAAGGACAAAATTTTTCGGGTCTTTCCACAAGATACTATTAGTAAATCTAGCTAAAACAAAATAGATAGCAACTATTAATGTGTAATTGGCCAATTTGACGAGTAGTTTGATTTGATGAGTGGAAGCTGATTTGTGAACTCTCACCGGAAAGCTGTTCGAAAGAAGCGAGAGAATCGATCATCGCAACGGTTCGTTGGCATCGCACCGATTTTGTGTAATGGTCACGTCTAT